ATCCGAACCCGCGGCCTTGGCGCTCCCCGCGCCGCACTCTCCCGAGTGAGCCACAGGGCCGGCCCTCAAAAACTTTATTTTAAATAATTATACAGTTGGCCTTCTGTAGTTTCTACTTTCATGAATTCAACCAATGGCAGCTCAAAAATATTTGGGGGAAAAACAATAAAAAGTAGCAAAAAATAATACAAATACAAAACAATACATTATAACAACTGTTTACATGGCATTTACATTGTATTAGGTATTATAAGACATCTAGAGGTGATTTAAAGTACACAGGAGGGGCCGGCCCTGTGGCTCACTTGGGTGAGTGTGGTGCTATTAGCACCAAGGCCATGGGTTTGGATCCGATTTAGGGATGGCCGGTGCACTCAGCCAAGGCTGAGCGTGGTCCTGACGACAACAAGCCAAGGGTTGCGATCCCCTTACTGCTCAAAAAACAAACAAACAAACAAACAAAACCCCCAATAAAGTACACAGGAGGATGTACTAGGTTATATGCAAATACCACACCATTTTATATCAGAGACTTGAGCATCTATGGATTTTGGCATCCATGGGAGGTCCTGGAACCAACCCCACATGTATACTGAGGGACGACTATAGACTCATAGGAAGTTATAAAATTAGTGATAGAACCCTGTCATCTTTCACACAGCTTCCCCAGTGGCAGCATCGTATGTAATAGTACAACACCAATGCTATGCTGCTGACCAGACGGCAGGCCTTACTCAGTTTTTCCAGTGTTTGCATGTGTATGACTGTGCATGTGCGCTGTGTGCAGACTTGTGTAGCCAGCACACAGTCAAGACATAGGCTTGCTCCGTACCTGCAGAGGACCCTCCTGCTGCCCCATGTCCAAATCTGCTTTCCTGTTGCCAGCAACCACTGCTCTGCTTGTTTTCTACAGCTCTGTCATTTTGAGAATGTTAAAGAAACGGATTCCTGTGGAATGTGATCTTATGGGGTGGGTGTTTTCTGTAAGCATAGTGCCCCTCGAGATCCATCCAGGTGGTTCATGTGTTAGTAGTTCGTTTGTTGCTATCCCATTGTCTGGTTTCACCAAAGTTTGTTTAAGAATTCACCCATCAAAGGACATTGGGGCTATTTCCAGCTTTTGCTATTACGATAAAGCTGCGGAGAGTGTTTGTGTGCAGGCACACCTTCTGTGGGAACACACCTTCTCCTTTCTCTGGGACAGATGCCTGAGAGTCCACTGCTGAGTGTAGGTGGTGTTGTGTAGAAGGCTGCCACATTATTTCCAGAGTGACCATGCCAGTGACATTCCAACAGGCAACGTGTGAATGCAACTTTCTCCACATCCTCACCAGCATTTGGTATTAACACTATTTTTAACTTTAGCTATTCTAGTAGGCATATAGAGGTATCTCATTGTGGGTTTAATTTGCATTTCCCTGATCACTAGAGATGTTGAACATATTTTCAAGTGCTGTTTTTTTTTTTTCTCTCTTTTTTAACTTGATAAAATGCATTTAAAGTTTTTTTTGCAGGGCAAGTCTCCAAGAAAATCATTTTTTTAACATAGTGAGGACTTGCATTTTCTAGTCCTTAATGCATGCCATGGAGCAACTCTGTTTCGGAGCAGAACGGTACTTTCTTAGGAGCAGGCAGATAGATTGGTGGAACAGAGCAGAGAGTCCAGAAACAGATTCTGATGCAATAATGTATGTGGGATTTGATGTGTGACAGAGATGTTGGTGAAAAGGATAGCTTATTTGAATGAATGATGCCTCAAAATGCTACTTGAAAGAGAATAAAATTATATCCCTATCTCAGCATATCCAGAACTACATGTGATTAACTAAAAACTGAAGTATAAAAAAATACAATCATATAAATCTTCGAAGAGATTTTAGGAGACATTGTAGGATAATGTTGGTCTCTTAAAAAAACTTAATTTGGAAATTTTTTAATCTGCAGAAAAGTAAAGAGAAATAGTATAATGAGGCCCACACACCCATTCCCCAGCTTCACTGGGAAGATAAAACTCTTGTTTTATCTGCACCCTTCAAACATATTCTTTCCAGTCCCCAATCCCGGAATTTTAAAGCAGATCCTGAATTTCAGGTCATAACAAGCCCTCACTGGATATTTTTAACTGGTGAGAACTGTTTCTCTGTTTTTTTGGTTTCGTTTTGTTTGGGGCTCTTGGTTTATACCACCTCACAGAATTAACAATAGTTCCACATGTTTGTCTACATAGGGAAGACTATACCATGCATAAAGTTGGACAAAATAGAGATTTAGGAAAAATACCTGTACTGCAGTTGAGAGATTAAAAAAAAAAGTTATTGTATATAGGGTTCAAAGGCTTCTTAAAACTTCTAGTAAAGAAAGGTAAGCAAACCAGCAGGGAACTGGGTAGACCAAACCCGAATGGCCTGTCAGTTGAAGAGTGAGAGAAGTGCTAATTAATGTAGCAAGGAGAGGACAGTTCCCATTTTTCAGGGTGGCTGCAATTAAAGCTGAGTGGTCCCTGCTGCTCACAGACGTGGGGTAGGGATTCTCTCTCGTGGAATACGAATTATAGTCGTTTTAGATGGCCAGCTGGCAGTGTCTGTTATGATTAGAAGTGTGTGTGTGTCTGTCTTGCTGTGCCACTCCTGATGGCCTACACCCCAGAAATACAACCATGCTTGGTCCCCTTGTTTACAGTGACAGGAAACCAGAAGGAAAGTTTAGTCCATCAAGAGAAATATTGAATAAATTGCTTTGTATCCATATTATAGAACATTACACATCTGTTTAAAAGAGCACATGAGATTTCTGCTAGTTGGTTTTATTGTTAGATAAAAACAGGGTGGAGTGACCGTGGGAATCCCTTATTCTGTCCAGACACCCTGTCCCTGCACCCTGGCCTCATGGCTGGAGGACCTCATTTCTGGTCATGGGCAGTATGAGCTGTGAGCAGTGATGGTGTCACTCTCAGTCTGGAGCGTTTGAGGTGACGACTGCCTGCCACCTGGTCCCCGAGTGACAGAGATGTGCTACTGGTATGTGATGGAACTGCAGCAGCGCCAGAGGGCAGCGTTGGTTGAGCAGGCGCTGAGACGTCCGGTTTCCCTGCAGCCCAGCCCAGCCCAGCTGGTGAGCCCCCGAGTGACAGAGATGTGCTACTGGTATGTGATGGAACTGCAGCAGCGCCAGAGGGCAGCGATGGTTGAGCAGGCGCTGAGACGTCCGGTTTCCCTGCAGCCCAGCCCAGCCCAGCTGGTGAGCCGTGCGAGGTCTCTTGCTGCGGCTCTCCGAGCAGAAGGACTGTAAGCTCGTGAGCGGCCACTCTTGGTTGCCAGGATCCGGGCTGGAGGGGGACGAGAGGTTAGGTTACAAAAAAGGGGTGGGAATAGAGAACCCAAGAGAAAGGGGGCGTCCATGTAGAAGAGCATTACATTTTCTCATTTACATAGTTATCTACCCGCCGTGGGGTACACATTGAAGGATGACCAAAATGTCAATGGTAATTTTTTCTATCTTACACTTTTCTGTAGTGTTTAAGCAAATACAAATGGTTGATATAATCAAGCAGAAGACCACTAAAACCTTTTATTTTAGTGTAGCAAAAATGAAGGGTGTGGGGGCCAGGTGTGTGCAGTCATTTTGGGGAGAGGGGCAAGGTCTGCGGGAAGCACACAAGTTTGCTGTAGGTACCGAGCGCCCGCCTAAGGTGATCACGGTTTAAAAGTAAGCCCAGGTCGGCTGTGTTCCATGTGCTCCGTATCCTGGTGAGAGGGAGAGGAAGCCTCTGCTGTTGTAAGCACTGGGTTCTGAGGGTTTTCTGTGACTGCAGCATAACTCAGCCCAGCTGGCTGCTATATGATCCCATTTTTATAAGAAACAGCGACACACCCAACCTCTCTGTGCGCTTTATCTGTTGTTATGTGATTCTGTGAGCAGAGAAAAGCAGGGCGGAGTGGCGTCTGCTGGACTGCGTGCTCAGGGAGAAAGTCCCTGTGTGTGTCTGAGGCCGGTGGACAGTGTGGTGGGGCAAGGGCAGGTCCCTGGATCGTATTTGCAAGAAATGATTCCCGCCATGGGCGTGGCTGGCCTCTCACTCTCCTCACGCCGAGGTGCAGCCCCGTGTGCTTGGGGAGTCTCCCGTCAGACTCCCCACGCAGACAGGCCAGGTCCTTCCTCTGTGAGGCTGCCAGATGGAAGCTCGGGGGGTGTTTGTACTTGGTCCAGCATTTTTAGTTGTTCTCCCTGGGGCTGATTGGTGCACGTAATCTCGCCCTCTATATTCCTACCCCCAGACGTGATAATCATTTACTTATTTAACAAATTGACACTACAGTATTCACAGGAGATCAGAAGTTTACTGGAGTGTTAAGCCCCACAGCTAGTCCAGGGACCACCCCCTGAAGGTGATAAGGTATCACCTGTTTGCTGACAGCTGAGAGCCTGCAGCTGGTGCTCTTGGTTTAACCTTGTGCCCTTGCTGGGCCCCCAGGTGCTCGCCTGTCCTATACCTGTGGACTGCTGAGTGCTCACCTGTGACAAGAGCACTTCCTCTGTCTCTGGAGACCCCTTTCCTCCCCTGTGTGCTGGCGCTCTGTGGTCCTTGTCTCAAGTGGGGTCCAATGCTCTGCCACAGCTACTGGTCCCATGAGGTGCTCAGGGCCTCGCTGGCCTGACTCCCCTGAATCATGTAGTCGTGCGAGACTCACGTCCCTGGGATCTGTGTTGGTGTCAGGGAGATGTGTAGCCTCCTCGTGGAGCTCTCTGGATGGGCTGGGTTCTCTGAAGTGCACGGTCCCATCCTGCAGCTTCTCTGCACCTGGCTGGGTACGGGGCATGTTCTTCTGGTCGCTTAGCTGCGGCAGTATCGTGGGCTTGCTCGTGGGCTGACCAATGTTCTTGGGATGGTTCTGGCCCGGGCTGGTGGGCGGGGACGGAGCTGAGTGCCACGGAGCACAGCAGGGTCAAGGGGCTGTGATGGCACTTTTGGAGAAATGATGATGCTTTGTCCTGTTTCCTAGTGTGCACTTTAGTAGAAAATTTGTCGCGTTCCAGAATGCCTTTCAAAGGTGATGCCGTAATCAGTAAGTGCTTTTCTTCTTAACAACTCACATAAAGCCTTTTCTTCCAGAGCTATTTCAAATTAAAAAGTAAAAATGAGCCTGTTGGGGTGGATGATAAAGGATTACAGCTTAGAGGTTCATGAGGTTCACGATACTAGAGTAGCTGGTCTTGAAATTGCTGCACAAATCTGTTGTGAATATAGAGCACCCCCACCCGGCCGCCCCCAGAAGGCAGCCTCCCTGTCCCTTCCTCAGTGCGCCTTGTCATGGCTCTGCCTGTTGCTGCTGTGCCTGGTGCCGGCATTCTTGGTCAGTCCTGTCTCCCAGACAGACGAGAGCGCGTGTGACCCAAGCCGTCATGGGCCAGAATGCCAGCAGCTGGTACCAAGGGCCAGCTGGGCAGCAGGTGGCCGCCAGCCCTTCTATAGGCTCGGAGCCCCCCTTGTGCCTATGGGTCCTGGCCAGAGAGAGCACAGTGGGAAGGGCTCCCCAGGGCTGTCTGTGTCACAGGGCCATCTCATGCTCTGCAGCTTGAGTAGACTTAACATTTGTTGCCTGGTGTTGGACTTAATTGAGTTGAACATTTGGGTTTATATTGGTGGGGCCAAGGGGAGATTATTCGAAGGAGAGAGAGAGAGAAGCTTGCAGATGTAATAAAAGAACCAAAATTTCCCAAAATATGGTATTTAAGTCATTGTTCACAGAATGCTAGTATTTCCTACAGTAGGAGTTTTAACATGTCAACAGCCGGGGCCAAGGGGAGATTATTCGAAGGAGAGAGAGAGAGAAGCTTGCAGATGTAATAAAAGAAACAAAATTTCCCAAAATATGGTATTTAAGTCATTGTTCACAGAATGCTAGTATTTCCTACAGTAGGAGTTTTAACATGTCAACAGCCAAAAGGAAACCTTCTCCTTTAAATCGAGAGGGACTTTAGGATTTTGTACCACCTGGAGAATGCTCACTTTGGGTTTTCTCCAGATTCATCTCGAAGGTTACCACCAACTTTGATTTAAGAGTTAGTAGGAGATATGTTCGTTGTTGTTTTTAATTTCAACTAAGTATTCTTAATGGGTGAATTAATCTCTCTGCTCCCTTGGCAGGTGGTTGGCAGTGGCTGATAGATGACACTTTGAGACACCTCCATCTTGTTTCGAGTAATTCCCGAGAGCAGGTCAAGGTGTGGTGAGATTCGCCTGGTGCTACCTCACGTGGGAAGTGGGGGGTGACTGCTGGCAGTGTGTGTTTCAAAGGACTTATGCGCTATGAGTGCCTTTTATATGCTAACATGGTAATTGATGAATTCCGTAATTATATTTGGAATTGTGGATGACATTGTGTGATTTATAATTAGGAGACCTAATGAAGCAACTGGTGACCAGAATGTTCAACTTTTTATTACTGATTCTGTCTTTATTCGTTATCTTCACCTCTGAAACGCCTTTTCTATATGTGAGTAGTAACTGTTTGCTTAGTTGGATTCTGTGCCCTGCTGAGGGGTTGGATTTTAGGTTTGGAAACTCTGTTCATGATGCTCATATTCAGATGAGAACACAGCACTCCAGAACTTCTGCCCGAGCACACTGATGTTATTTATTCTGTGAGAGTGTGAGTGTTTGTGTGTCCCTGTGGCTGTCTGTCACTCCTCTCTGGTCCTGGGGACCCAGGTGAACTCTGGGCTGGCAGGACTGTAGCACTCGCCCCATTGCACTGATGACAAGCCTTTGTCATTGACATGGAGTAGGCTTTGATGTTGGGGATGAAGACCGGGAGTATGTTCAGGCGTCCTTCATAACTCAGCAACCTCTGTGTCGTAATGTTTCTGCTGATTGAATGCCTCTTCTTAAGTGACGCTACCATGCTGTAGAATCCAAGTACAGTTTTACCAGTTGAATTTGAGTGCCTTGTGATCAGTGCCTCCACATTTTCTTTTTAAGAAATGTCTGTAATTGGTTCACACCAGTCTGCTTCTCCGACTGGTACAAGTGACAGCTCGTTGTGATGAGGCACTCTGTGGATGTGGTTTCTAGCTGTACTCACGGCCCCTGCTGCCCTGCTCCTCTCTCCAAGGCTGCTCCGTTGGCCGTGGCTGTGGCTCTGGGGGCAGTAGGAAGAGCACACGAGTCGTTTGCTGCTCGCTAGCTGCATGGTCACGACAGGCTTCATCAGGAGTCGGCTCCTCCTCTCTAAGTGGTGGAGGCAACGCACTGAGCCCCTGAAGGCGGCAGGACTCGGCGATTGTCCTGGCAGCTCCTGCTCTGTGCAGTCCAGCCTCATCCTGTTCCACTGTGGCTCCTGGTGGCCTTTGGGACTGTTCCGAGGGACTCACAACTGTGTGGGCTCAGCCTCCTGTTCCCAGCACCTCAGATCCCTTCTCTCTTCTGAACAAGCTGCACACGCTCGGCCTGGAGGCCTTGCCCACACGACTTCTGGGTGTAAACACACACTCTTCCTTCACTACTTCTGCTGGGAAAGAAATACTCCACTTTATTATTAATTGTTCCATATTAGCAGATGTGGAATTTCCATTGTATGGAAGAAATAATCGTGTCCTCTATTCAGTTCATTAGTTGCAGAGAATCACTAAAGTAATAAGTGCACCTGACAGATGCCAATGAGCAGGCACGTTGGAAAGGAATGACCTAATGCTTTTGCTGTTTTTGTTTTTAAACGTAATTAGCTGTGCCTAGACTTAAGAATGGCACATTGAGGCCGGCCCGGTGGCTCACTGCTACAGTGCGCCGCTTGGGAGCGCGGTGGCGCTCCCGCCGAGGGTTCGGATCCCACATGCA